TTGAAATACATGTAGCCCGTAGGCACACGGGAGTGAAAACACTAGGAAAGAACAGAGTCTGCACATGCAGGTTTGGAAACAGAGGAGGGGATCAATAGGCTATAGATAAATATGTGCTAAATTATATTAGAATAAAACACTAAAAATCAATCATAACAATTCCTCAACAATTAAGAAGAAAAAAAAAGCATGAAAGTATATAGAATAAAAGGAAGCAGAACAAACAAAAAAAATACTAAGAGGGATAATGTATTAAGTTGTTCATCAATAGTCAGGGTGAGGGCTGATCAAGTCACCGTTTCTCATAGTGTTGATTTCACTTTAACAGGTTTCCTTTTTGGTGCTCAGTTAGTTGTCACCGATCAGGGAGAACATATGGTATTTGTCCCTTTGGGACTGGCTTATTTCACTCAGCATAATGCTTTCCAAATTCCTAACAGGGATCACTTTTCAGTTAAAATTTAAACACCTAAGAATAATTGTGTGTTAATTACAGAGTTCAACCAATAGTACTAGAACAAAAAAAATACTAAAATGGATAAAGTATTACATTGTACATCAACAGTCAGGACAAGATCTGATCAACAACTTAATACGTTATCCCTCTTATTATTTTTGTTTGTTTGTTCTACTTAATACTTTTGGTTGAATACTGTAATCAATACACAGTTATTCTCAAGTGTTGAAACTTAACTGAAAAGTGATCGCTGTTAAATATAAGAGTGGGAATAAGAGAGGGAAGAGATGTGCAATTCAGGACATGCTCAAGCTGACCTACCTCAAACGGTAGAGTTAGAAACATACCAGGGGATTTCAATTCAATCCCATCAAGGTGGCATGTACCAATGCCATCTCACTAGTCCTGGTGATCAATTTCTGTTCACAATTGATCATAATGATAGGACTAAGAACCAAAGGGATCACATAAACAAGAATAGTGTCTGCAAACACTAGCTGATAGAATCAAAAAGGGAGAGAACAATCCAACATGGGAAGCAAGATACACAGCAGACCCATAGAATGGCAGATGTCCTAAACAGCACTCCGGCCTCAGAATCAGCCCTTAAGGCACGCGGATCTGGCTGAAAAACCCATGAGAGTATTACAGGCACGGAAAGCCAAAACACTCTGGCAAAAAAAAAAAAAAAAAAAAGAAAAGAAAACAACCTAAATGAAGGATCTCCGCAAGTGAGATCCCAGTGAAAAGAACAGGTCATCAAAGGTGGAGGTAGCTTTCTTTGAAGGGAGGAGAGAGCTTCCACTTTGACTACGACCTTGTCTAAATATGATCAGAGTCAGTGAACTCAAAAGGCTTTCATAGCCTAGGCAACTCATGACAAGTGCCTAGGGTGATTACTGATGCCATAAACAAGAGTGTCAATTTGTTAAGTCAACAACAGGAATCACTGTGCACTTACTCCTCATGTAGGATCTCTGTCCTTAATGTGCTGTACATTGTGAATTAATGCTATAACTAGTACTCAAACAGTATTTTTCACTTTATGTTTCTGTGTGGGAGCAAACTGTTGAAATCTTTACTTAATATATGCTAAACTGGTCTTCTGTATATAAAGAGAATCGAAAATGAATCTTGATGTGAATGGAAGGGGAGAGGGAGTGGATAAGGGAGGGGTTGCGGGTTGGAGGGACATTATTGGGGGGGAAGCCATTGTAATCCATAAGCTGTACTTTGGAAATTTATATTCATTAAATAAAAGTTAAAAAAAATAAAAGGAAGCAAATGATAACAGTAGATATCAGTAGATATGAAGTGCCCTTTTTCTTAGTTTCTTTTATACTCATAAGATTAACCCTGCAGTAAGTAAAGAGTTCAACAAATAGTATGAGAAAATATGTACCTCAACAGTAGAGACAAGGCCTGTAAACAATCATCAAAGCTCAAGATGTCAATTTCACTCCAATTTATTACATTTTAGATGCTCTATTACTTACCACACATCACGGAAAGCATTTGGGACTGCTTTGGGACTGGCTTATTTCACTAAGTATAATGGATCCCAGTTGCATCCATTTTGTTGCAAAAGATAGGATTTCATTTTTGATCACTGAGTACTATTCCATAGTATATATATACCATCTTATGAAATACTTTTTTAAAAGTACCACAAACAAGAATATACTTTTTAATGTAAACAAAATTAATAAACTATGAGTAAAATTAATCAGAGAAACACAGGGAAAAGTAACACTACTACCCATTTTCAGGAATTAAAACAATGCTTTACAGAGAATATAGCCTTGTCAAGATGCTAGAAAAAATTTGTAAAATGCCTAGGAGTAAAAATTTGACTAGAGATTAAAATCTACTATATTTTGGACATCAAATCCCAAAACCATTATAACATAAAATAGGGAAACTCTTACTTACACCAGGCAAATTGAATTACAACTTGAAAACTACCAACCAACCAATTAAAAAGTTACAGAAGCAAAACTTCAGGTATAGAAATACAAAATATTCCAGGACCACCACTGTGGCATAGGGGGTAAAGCTGTTGCTTGCAGTGCCAACATCCCATATGAGTACTGGTTCGAGTCCTGGCTGCTCCACTTCTAATCCAGCATTTCTGCTAATGGCCTGCATAAGCAGTGGAAGATGGCCCAAGTGCTTGGTTCCCTGCACTGCCATGGGGATCTGGAGGAAGCTTCTGGCTCCTGGCTTCAGATCAGCCCAGCTCTGGCCCCTTGTGGCCATCTGAGTAAACCAGCAGATGGAGATTTCTCTCTCTCTCTCTCTATTCCTCTGCTTCTCTTCTGTAACTCTGCCTTTTAAAAAATAAATCTTTGGGAAAAAAGAAAGAAATACAAAATATTTGAAATATACCCATGTTTCCCAGAATACCAAGGTAGAAATAAGCGGAGAATATTTTCAAATTTCTTTTGAAAAGCCAGCATTACATTGATGATGATGGAAATGGACCAGAACATGAAATATGAATTAAATATAAGCCTCTCTTTCATAAACAGGTGCATATATCCTTAGTATACTTATAATAAATTAAATCACATATGAAAATATAATGAATATGAGTGAATATAAGAAAAAAGTAAGAGGTAGTTAATATTTTTAAACAAGCCATGCAAATTTGCCAGTTAAGTGAAAAACTCAAGAAGAAAATCATATGGCCATTTAGATTGAATTTTGAAATGCATTTTAAAAAATCAGCATGAAATTCCCAATCAGGGACCTCCTTGTTACATTTAATGAAACCAAGTTTCTAACATTCTGCATGGTGGTATCTTGCATTTGTGGAGTCACTTTCCTGCTGGTGCATCACAGTACCAATGGAAATGTCAGGATGACCCTGCAGGTGTTTCCATTTTGGCCTCCAGTACATGGCTTACTAGGCTGCATTTTTCCCCAAGTGCTAACTTATTTTGGTAAAAGAAGTTAGTAAGTCACTGCATGTGTTCTAAAATAAAGCACATTTGAAAAAGAATAAGTCTTAACATATAACTTGTATATTTGCTAAAATACTGGACCTGAAGATAAAACTACACTGCTTTCACAGTCATATATTTCAATATGGCATGTATTTCAAGGTACAAAAGGCATTTCTTACTCTAAAGTTGCTGGAGACACACTCAAACCTGTACCTATATTGATCAATATTCAATTTCATTTAGATTTTTGTGTTCATCTGATTAGGACTTCAATTAGCTAGCTACTTCCACTTAATTGCACTTGGCCTTTTCTGTTGCTTTCCACTAGGACTTTCCATTTATTTTTACGAATTTTTATAACACACTAGAATCCCCACATAGTACATTCTATTTCTGAACACTGACTATACTTCAGTGACATCTTTTCCTTCTTGAAGAAGCTTCATATTTTTAATATGATGAATGTTGTATGTTTTGATAGTTGTACTATAATTTTCTCTGAATGATAAATTTTGAAATATTCTCGAGGCTAACATTGCAATTTTTTTATGTAGCCATTATGCCTGACTTGTCATATATTTCACAAATACTCTTCAATTTAGGCTAGGTGTCAAACTTATAGATGAATTTTAAGGAAAATGGATCAATGTGCAGCAGTGAGTTGTCCCATTCATGGTTGCATATAAAACTTTCCAATTACACTCTTATCATCTTTTCTCAATATTACAAATATATATTTTATTTTATATATTACATATACCTTATTATACACATATATATTGTATATATATATATATATATATATATGCCACGTGCTGTTTTTTCATGGGTTGAAATCACTTTGCGATATTTTTTCTGCAACACTGGAGTTTTTTTTAACAAATATGCTTAAGAAGTGGGATTTTTTTTAAATCCTTTTTTTTCTATTTTGAAAGTGAAAATGCAGATGGCGGTTTGTCAAGGGACAGTGTAAGGGCTAAGATGATAGCCAAGTGTCAAATTACAGGGAACACATGGCACTCTAAAACGTGAACAAAAACCCCAAGTCAAACAGAACATTTGTTTTTGCCTTGCCCACTCTAGGTGACCATGTTATTAGAAACAGAAAATGGAGAGACCCCTAGAAACAGCTGTGCTGAGAGGCCAGCATCCTGGAAGAGACCCTGCTGCCCACATATTTAGAAAACTGGGGGGAATCAGGTCCCGGCAGGGAAGGACGGAGGAGCCCAGGGCTGCATGAACTACAGCTCCCGTCCCACAGGCACCCCGCACACGGAGCCCACATTCTCCCTAATGACCACCCCGTACCCACTGCACAGTCGGGGAGACACGGGGCTGCTCCCACACAGCTGCCCAGGGAAGGCTCTGGGCTGAGAAGTCGCTGTGAGCAGGGAAGGGGCAGGGCGTCGGGGGTCCCGGGTGCCAGTCCAGACCCCGACCCCCGGGTCTGAGGGGACCAAGGGAAGCGCTGGGCCAGCGGCAATATGGTGCCACAGATTCGGAGACGACCTCTGGGAGGCCCGCGTCCTGCCAGCTTCTCAGAAGCTTCCACGGCTGCTTTACGCCTCTCCCGACACCTGGGCGCACACACTCACCACGTCGCGGTTTTCAGCTCCAGGTGTCCAGCGTCCCCCGGTGATGAAGGTGGAGGCCACAAACCCAACTTCCTTCGGGAGCCTTGTGGCAGCGGAGCCATCTCCTAGCACCTAGCTCCTGCCCAGAACTGTAAGATGACTGTGACGTCAAGACCCCACGTGATGACGTGACGTGGACGTCGTCGTGCCTGATTGGACAGCGTGCATGGCCGTGAGCGCACAAAGTGTCACAAAGGACACAGCCCATCAACATCCTTCACGGCAATGGGCCCCTGACTTCAGATTGTGCTGGGTGGGAGCAGCAGGAGGCGAGGTCTGGGTGCAGGTCGGACTCCACCTCCCCAGGCGGGAGGCCTCTCCCCTCTGCTCCTGCACCTGCCGGGTCCCTCCTGTGGCCCTGCCCTCCCTGATGGGTCCCTGCTGGAGCTCTCGGTGCAGTAAATGCTTCAGTGAGTCACAGTTCTGTGCATCGGCCTCTGGGCTTTATTTTCTTCGTATTGTGACTCATTATCCTGTAGGGTCGTTTGTGTTACTTTTTAATATTGATTGGAAGAATGCTGAAAGACATCACATGATTTAATCCTTTCCTTCCCTTTTCTCCTGTCAGCATTTGTTTTCTACTCTGCCTATTGACTTTTTTTTTTTTTTCCTGACAGGCAGAATGGACAGTGAGAGAGAAAGACAGAGAAAAAGGTCTTCCTTTACCGTTGGTTCGCCCTCCAATGGCTGCTTCGGCTGGCGCGCTGTGGCCGATGCACCGCGCTGATCCGAAGCCAGGAGCCAGGTGCTTCCTCCTGGTCTCCCATGCGCGTGCAGGGCCCAAGCACCTGGGCCATCTTCCACTGCCTTCCTGGGCCACAGCAGAGAGCTAGGACTGGAAGAGGGGCAACCGGGACAGAATCTGGCACCCCAACTGGGACTAGAACCCAGTGTGCCGGCGCCACAGGCAGAGGATTAGCCTATTGAGGAGCTGCGGCGCCGGCCGCCTATTGACTTTTAATATTTTCTATTTGTTTCTTGCTAGTACAAGGTAATCTAGTGGATTTTAAAATTATTGATCTTTCTAGAAATCTCATTAAATTCATTTATCAGTTGTATCTGTTTTTAGATTTTTTGGATTCTCTCTAAATACCTCCGATATATTGACATTTTATTGCTTAGAGACCTCTACACCTTATTTTTTATTTTTGCTCTCCCCTCCCCAACTGCTCCTCCAATAAGAAATTGGAGATAGTGGAGGCACCTGCTCTAGGCTTACTTCCAGGGAAAAAAGCAGTCAATGTTCTTGTATGTATTGTGTTCTTTGATGTAGGATCCTTTTTCAATAATCTTGATCAGAGTAAGGAAGCCAGTTTTTTTTTTACTGCTAGCAGGTTTGTTTGGTTTTTTTTTTTTTGGAACATAAGCCATCGTTTACTTCCTCTAGTGTACATAAGCAGGGCCCTGAGTCAGCAGTGAAAAATAGATGAGACTTGGGTCAGGCACTCTGAAATGAAATGAGGTCATCCCAAATGGAGGGTAAACCCTACTGCACCATAACACTGCCTCAGGCATCCTTACTTTAACTTTGTATGAGCTATTATGATCTTTATTACTTTTGCTGAAATTTTTTCTTTCACATTTTTAATGTAATTATAATGATCTGCTTTTCAGCCATTTTGCCTGTATTCATTCATTTTGCCATTGTTTCTCCCAAAAAATTACTCATTTTATGGTAATAACTAGTTTTTCATGACAGCTGAATGCCTTTTTAAGTCTTTATACTTTTCTTTGAAATTATAACTATCAGCAGTGCATATTTGTAATACCTTGGTCTGAGTAAAGCACAGAACTTTTTTTTTAAAAAGATTGATTCATTTATTTGAAAGTAAGAGTTACACAGAGAAAGAATGAGAGGCAGAGAGAGAGAGTCTTCCATCTGCTGGTTCACTCCCAAGTTGGCCGCAAAGGACAGAGCTGCACCGATCCAAAGCCAGGAGCTTCTTCCAAGTCTCCCACGTGGGTGCAGGGTCACAAAGACTTGGGCCATCTTCCACTGCTTTCCCAGGCCATAGCAGAGCTGGATTGGAAATGGAGCAGCTGGGATCAAACCAGAGCCCATATGGGATGCTGGCACTGCAGGCAGCAGCTTTACCCGATATGGCACAGTGTCGGTCCCCTTAGTACTCTTAACTTTTTACAAGATTGCATAACTTTTTGATTGTGAAATCATCAACTCTCAAAATTCTGTAGGTCTCCTGGAAATTGTCATGTACAGTTTCTCAGACATTGTTAGGCCACTGTAATTATTCACCTTATCTAGGTAACATATTTTTTACTTCTTTGGATGTTCATGGAACTAAGTTTGAGTTTATTTTTTAATGTTTCTCTAAGCATAATCTAGATATGGAAGTATATGCTCTCATATATTGTAGAACAAGGCATGATCTTTCTTCACTCATGTTTCTGGTATTTTTTTCATATTCTCCAATATAGATGTAATTGTAATGAACTACAACAAAGTTCTCAATCTGCTTTTCACACCATTATTCTCCATTTCTCGTCATGGTAATCACAACATTCATTATTCCATAACATGTACATCTCTTTTCATTGTCATTGCATCTAATGCTATACCCTGTATTGATCACTAACATCTTAGTAAGCCAATAGTGATAATATGAGCTATGGCAATCTTGGTTTGTATTTTTTGTGGTATCACAAACTTGCCCAAACTTGGAAACTCTGAAAATTTTCATGTATACAATTTTTCAGAGTGCTTGCCATGGTATTCTCCTGTTCCACATATCATTTTTATCTTTACTGAAATTTTGACATTGATGTGTGAAATATTCAATCATATATTTCTAGACACTGGTATCTTTCTTGTAATATACTGTAAAGTGGAATGATCTCTTCATGACTTAAGATATTTTATTTACAAATAATTTTAAACATTGAAATGGATTTTTTCACCAAACTCCTTTATATTTCTTAGTGATTTTATTGTTACTCCTACTAATTACTTAGTCTTTCTTACAGTATTAGTAATATATTTTATATTGTGAGCATCTTTTCTGGTTCTGTGATTGAAGTTGTTGATATGTGGGTTTTTTATTTGAAGATTTCTTTATTTGAAGGAGTTGCAGAGAGAGGTAGAGACAGAGACGAGAGAGAAATAGATATGTCTTCCATCCACTGGTTCACTCCCCAAATGGCTGCAATGGCTGGAGCTGCGTCAGTCCAAAGCCAGGAGCCAGGATCTTCTTCTGGTTCTCCCATGCTGGTGCAGGGACACAAGGACCTGGGCCATCCTCCATTTCTTTCCCCAGGCACATTAACAGGGAGATAGATTGGGAGTAGAGCAGCCAGGACTTGAACTGGCACCAGTATGGAATGCCAGCACTGCAAGCCAGGGCCTTAACCTGCTGTGCCACAGTGCTGCTCCCAGGTATGTGTGTACTTAATATCCTCATTTAAGTCAATCCTTGTACTGTGACATTCTTGCTTGATTTCTTTTCACTGTGATGTCATCAGATAACTCAAAATTCGGTATGTTTTGCTGGTAACATTAATGTACAGTCCCTCTGAACTCTGTTAGGGTGAGTTTAATCTTACACACTTTAAGGTCTCATATTTTTAAACTTTCTTAATTTTTATATCTCCAAAGTTATCATTCACTGAATTTTCCCAAAGTGTAGCTCTAGATATACTTTCTCAGAATTTTTCTAGTAGGTGGAATGAGTTTTATATTCATTGATTTTTACTTCTCATTTTATGTAATTACAATTAAGTATTTTTTCACCAAATTCCTTTATTTTTGCATTTTATAGAATTTAGCAAATGTAAACTAACCTTTGATTTTAGAAACTTCTTTAGTGTATGTATCTTTAGATACTTGGATAATTCCTTTAATATTATTATCTAAAGTGGCTTGCTTAAAGATTTTGGGAATATTTCAGCATTCTTTTTAAATGTAATGGAATATTTTACACCAAATTCTCATATATGCATGTCAATCTCAATCTCAAAATATTTGTAACATGAACAGCCTTTTTATTTTTGGGTTTTGAAATATATTTTGTCCATATGAAAAAATACTACATGAACACTATTTTTCAATACTTGAAGGATGTTTCTGAGAGTCATCTTATTTGTACACATGCCAATAATGTATCTTCTGTCAACCTTCAGCTTGATACTCTGTTAAAAATTCATATTTTTCTTTTACAGAGCTTTTAAGATTTATCTTTATTTCTGGGTTTATGCAGTTTAATTATGATCTGCCTCAGCATGGTGATTTTTTTTTCATCCTGTATTTGGAGTGCAATGACCTGTTTGGGTCTTTGGACTTATAGTTTTGTCAAACTGAAAAATTTGGCCACAATTTCCCCAAACATATACCTGACCATTTTAGAGATGCTATTGACTCTATTTAAATATATAATTGTTCTTATTATCTGCCCAGCCTTTTCAGTCTTTTCTTCTTCTCAAATTTCATTTTGATCCTTTAAATTGCCATGTTTTCCTGTTCACTTCTTCTGAAATGTCTCATTTGCACAACTTAGAAAAATTGCTAATTTCAGGTATTGTAGTTTTTGCCTCTAGAAATTGCTCTTGGGTCTTTCTGCATATAATCTCTGTGTATCCATCTATATAAATTGTGATGCATGTCTAGGAACCATTGCAAACTCTTCATTAGTACTGTTCTCTGCATCATTTGAGTATAAAGGATATCTGTTTCTTTTGTCCCTGTTGCTGACATTCTCTATCCTTGCAATTTTCTGAGCAATATCAGTATCTCTTTCAGTCAGGAGTACACTGAATCTCACTTGGTTTGAAGCTGGGACATGAGATAACTTCAAGAGGGGGAGTCAGCTGTCAAGAAAAACTATACAGCGGGGTGTGCTCCTTCATACAGGGGCTCCTGCACTTTCTTTTATAACAAGAAAATAAACAAATATTTAATGACATGTAAATATTATGGATCTATATACATGACTCTATAAAACATTCTGCATCTGTATTCAGCTCTTTTTGGGTTCATAATGTCTTCAACGATGATCCATGAATGCACACATCTTTCTGTGTGCTTCTCTTGCTTATGTATTAAGTCCCACTCCAACAGAGACAAATCTGTCTCCTTCCTTTACTTGTTCCACCTTAGGACACCATGCAGTCACATGAAAATACATAAAACTATACATCTGGTGGGAAATTACTTCCTGAACCAGATGCTGTTGCCTTAGTTCGACAGATTCCACTCACTTTCACAGTTACTCAAGTTTTCACTATTCCCACTCCCTTCAATGAGGTTGTTGCATACATTTATATTAGTTTAGTTTTTTTTGTCACATTCTGCATCCAGTTCCTGAATTCCATGATGTGCTACATTGTTTTTCATTTAAGTTGTAGACTTTAAGGTCATATAGAATTTGACACACTCATAGTGCCATGTATCCATATTATCCTTCAAAATACTTTCAACACTCTTACAAACCCCATGTACCTCACATATTCACGTCTCTCCCCATATCTCACCAATACCAATCTGTTTCCTATCTCCATAAATTTATCTTTTCACCTAGAAATATGCACTTAACATTCCATCTAGATTTCTGTGATATGATACCATGCTGCACAGAATTGTTGGGTGGGTGTTCCAAAATTTACTTTTGTATTCACCAATAAAACATTGATAGCATTTGATCCTTAGTTATAAAAGTGCATGTTGGAGCTGGCATTGTTGTGTAGTGGGTTAAGCTGCTGCCTGCAGTGCTGGCATCCCATATGTGCACCAGTTTGAGTCCTAGTTGCTCAAATTCCAATCCAAATCTCTGGTAATGTGCCCGGAAAAGCAACAAAGGATAGCCCAAGTCTTTGGGTCCCTGCACCCATGTGGGAGACTTCAATGGAGTTCCTGGCTCCTGGCTTCATTATAGCAATTTGGGAAGTGAAACAGCTGATATGACACCCTCCCCCCAATCTCTCTCTCTCTTTCCTTCCAAAAAATTAAATAAAATTCATTCTTTTCAAAAAGTCACTAAGGACTTAAGGATTTCCAGCAAAAAACCAACTGTGGAGTTATAAAACCTCACTTGTGAGAGAACTATTCTTAATTTAAGCTAATGAGTGTTGATAATTTCTCCACTCATATTAAATTACGTTTTGCTCTTTCTCTGATGTTTCATCTCTACTTGTCAAGTAAAAAAAAATGTCAATGGCCACGATACGCTGGGCCAATCTCACATGCCCCGGCATTCTGTAGCTCTGGTAGCTGAGCTGCATCTCATCAAAAGCAGGTCAAGTTAAACTTGGAGAAGCAGATTAATGCTACTGCTTATCCCCTCCCCCCCAACACACACACATTCCTTTTTGCTTCAGTTCTTTGTGGATCTGGCTAACCAGTGTTCATGATGCTCCTCTTCTCATCTGTCCAAGTCTGAAATCAGGTCACTTCAGGGCTTCAGTGTACAACTGTGTGTATACCACCAAAGGGTACCAAGCTGAGTTCTACTCACCGAGGTATGGCCTGACGTCACAGGACAGCCCAGAGAAGGAACACTTTTCAGCAAGTGCATACTATGGGAGTGCAGTAACCCACACTCATCCTTGTTCTAGGGCTATAGGGCTATGAGCTACCCTTCTTTCTCATCACTGGGCAACTATGATTGAAACTTGAAGTTCTTGGGTAGATCTATCTCCTAATTATCATGGATTGGACAGTTTAATGCTACTGTTCATCTCCTCCTTTACCACCACCACCACTCACTTTATTTCAGCAGTTATTTGTGGATCTGGCTAACCAGCAGAAAATTAGTCAACTTGAGGTTTCTAAGGAAAACCTCTTTCATCTCTACTTTATTTTGGAGAAACTAAAAACTAAGCAAGTTGTTCAAATTTTAAAGGAAATTTAAAAAATTGATTTCTTTAATGTTTTGTGCTTGTTTGATCTAAAATACTACCTTGGAAATAAATACTTTTATACTCCATGTAAGCAGATTCTCATATATTTAAAAAAAAATAAACATTCCTGAGGATTCTGTGTTCTATATTTAAACCTAACTTCACAACTAAAAT